AACTTTTGTCTATTCACAAAAATTGCTGTGAAAGGAGGATGGTTTAGATTCCAATGATGGTTTCCAAATGAGAAAATTATGTTTCTTCCAAATGCAGTATTGGACCGTACAAAGGAATTGTCGTACATAATTATTAGAAATGAAAGGAGATGACTATCTTTTCTATGAGCTGACTTTACTGCTGCTAAAATTATCAGTTGTATAAATCATCTTGTTATTCGCTGATCCAGTGAGATGTAGCAGTTTTGATTCCACTAGTTATCAGATTTTCTTCCTATAGCAATTGTTCTGGCAGCTGCAACTTGGTTTAATGAACTGTTTCCAAGACATCAGGTGTGTACTATATGAGTTGTGAAAAACTCATCTGTTTTGGATTTATATTTCAACTAAACTAACCTCATTATGTATTTTATATATTTTATATTTTATTTTAAGTTTTATGTAAGGAGTGGTTTATGTCGCAAATCAACATTCTGTCCTTTTATCCTTCCTAAAATCAAATCTGATCAAATGTTCATGTCATTCAAAGACATTAAACTAGATTAGTGGTATTAGACTGGCACATTCTCTGGCCATTTTTCATCAGAGGACTCATTTTGAAAAAGGTGGTTTTAATTTTTGTTGTTGTTGGAAAGTGGGTGAAACTGTTTCCTGTGTTGTTTAGATAAGTCATATAATACGTGCAGGTAGGATTGGGACATGTGGGCTCCTAATTAGGAAGAGAAGGATATGGCATATAGGGCACTAGGGACAGCATTAGTTTGTGGCATTTTCTGCTAAAATGGTGTGAATTAATTTTGGTAAAACTTTTTTTTTTTTTTTTTTTCTTTGGTAAATTAGGGAAAGGGGGGATTTGAATACGGACGCTCGGAGAACTGACTACTCTACCAACTAAGCCACTAGGTTAATACCTTAATCGAGTAGTTGATTTACAGGTTTGTAGAAACACAAATCGGTCTTCAAAACTACTCCTAAAAACTCTGAGGGCAGGTTGCAATTTATAATTGTCTTTTGGGTTAGAGCAAAGAATCTAACTGGTGGTTCCATATAGCGTCTCTGTTTTTCAAGAGGTTATAGGTAGTGCATAATGCTTGAGATCGTCATTTTAGATTAATAAATTGCAAAGGATTATAATGTCCATTAATAAGGTTTCTGATTCCTTGGATGTACTAAAACGTGTAATGAACATGAGTCGTGCAATGTTGGATTGGGGGGCCAAACTAGCACAATGAAATTAAAATCACGAAAAATATATATATATATATATATATATATATTACTAAGAGCATGTCTAGTGATATGTACTCCGGCGGAGAGGTTAACTTTTACAGTCTTATAGTGTGAAGGTGTTCTCGTTATAATTTCTTCGCACTCTTGAAATAACCTAAACAATGAGGAAACTATAACCTAAAACAAAACAAATTAGGTAAAAACAATTTAAATAAATAAGAGGGGGAACTACTACTAAAACAAAAACAAAAACAAAAACAAAAATAGGTAGAGGGAGAGAGATGAACAAGTCGCAAGTCCTTAAATAAGATACCTGTTGAGTGCAAAGCATTTTTTTTTCCTCTTAGATTTCATATTGATAATAGATATTAATATATATACACATACAAATGTAGCATTGACATGTTAGTAGCAACGAATTATGTATTCTTTAACTAAATTTGGATTGTGTAAAGTAAGAAAAAAAATGTCAATGAATTTTGGATGGATTACATGTAAAATATCAAGTCCTTTGATTTTTTTCCTTTTTTTTTTTTTTTTTTATCTCTTTTTCATCCCATGTTGTTTAATTGTTATTTATGTATTATTATTATTTCCCTTACCCGAAAAAAAAAAATAAAAAAAAAATAAAGGTTGGATTTGGAATATTCTTAGGGGCTCATTAATTTAGGATTTTCTAGCAAGAGTGCTAACACAATAGATTTTGCTGTCACTTTAAAAACATGAAAATTCATTGGTTTAGTCCATCCAGACATCTTACATTAATATTTTGCATAAATAATGGAATGGTTGAAATGTATTGGATTAGGGGTCATCATTCAGTAGAATGGATATTATCCAAGCGTATGGATGTGAGTTGGTTCTCAAGAATGATCACGTTGTGACTATAATGATGTTCGTTGTAACATATCGATTATGGTAAAGATGTGTTTGCGGTGTAACGAATTTGGATAAATATTGGTATAAATTAATATAAAAGAACCTTTAAAAAAATGTTACCAACAGAATTACAATAAATCACATGTCGCGCTCTAGAGCTCATTCAATACAAAATATGAAGGGCCAATGTTGTGGTTTCCTTGAGCTTATCAAAAGACAGACTTACTTACCCTTCTTTCTCTCTCTCCAACAGACCAAACCCTTCTTTCCTTCCATTTTCTCCTGCGCTCTTCCATGAGAGTGGGGAGGTGCCATTTTTGCCTCCCGCTTCAATAAATTTGGCGTATTTCAATAAGCTCATTTCGTGGGTGTTTTTTACATCATTTTTGTTTTTGTTCAGCTAGCTCTGCTCATATTTGGTTTGTTTTCGGCTAATGAGGGTGGATCTGTTGTTTTTTTTCCGACTAGATCTCTGATCTATGTTGGTTTTGATTTGTTCCCGACTTGATCTGATCCTTCTCCTTGATTTGATCTTGTCCGGGTTGGGTGGTTTTTTTTTTTTTTTTTTTTCCTGTTGGAGCACCTTATAGGTGTAGTTTTGGAGCTATTGTCTTGATAATGATCAGGCCTTTGGGTCGTTCCTGTTGGTGGTTTCGCAGAAGAGTTTTGGCTCTAGTTCTCAACAAATGGAACATGTTATTTATTTTTCTTATTTTTGTTTCATGATTGTATGCCTTTTTTTGACTTGATGTTTGGCTTTGTACTGCCATTGATAATAACTATTGTGTCCCTGTAAAGACGAAAAAAAAAAAACCAGAACAAAACAGACTTAACTCGTTATAAACGAAAAGATGACAAAGCGAAGCGAAAAAAAAAAAAAAAAAAAAAAAGAAAAGGTGTGACTATGATTCAATCCGGTTTACACAAACAAGTCAACATGGGCGGCTCCACTATGCCCTTCCAAACCCTACAATTATAATTTTTAAAACAAAAATTATTTTGTGATTATTTGTATTATATTTTTAAAATTTAGTTATAATGTGATTATTGATACTTAATGAATTATAATTATATTTGTTATGATTTAGTTGACGGTTTAATTTTTATGAACAACTCTAAGACGGGATAGTGCTTTCTAAGAATGTTCTACAAATTTTTAAAGATTTCTTAGCTAAATTAACGTATTTGAGTATTATATTATTCATGATTAGTTGTTTATGAATTTAAATTCTACATAAATAGTAATTAATTAAATTTAAATAAGAATAATGGTAGGGGAACTGAAAAGGAATCACCGAATTAGTATCAAATTTGACGTGGTTGGTCATTTTTATCACTTGTTAAATAATTATTTTTGGAAACTGTTTAAGTAGATGAGGTGGACAAAAACATATCAGATTCGATACTTATTCGGGGTTAATTCATCAGTCTCCCTATCACTATTCTTTAAATAATCTAGAAAGTTTTAATCTCCCAAAAAAAAAAAAAAATTACCAAAAGTCTGTAAGACAAAAGTTTTACTTTTAATTTTTTTAATACACACTACCAATTTTACAAATATATATATATATATATATATTATAATAAATCTTAATATGTCTATGTACTCATGTTTAAAATGTGATCTTAATTGTTGTGTACCACTTAATAATGCGTTCACTATGGGTCATCTTAACTTAGATCTCCATTTCGTTTTATATCCTATTTATTAATATATTTCACAATTTTGCGAATTTAGATTCTCTCGAGTTCACATTAGTCAAGGCGATCCTTTTTCCCCAAATTTGTTTATCATTTGCGCGGAAGCTCTTTCGCTGGCTATTTTGTGGGCCCAGGAAGCTCGATTGTTATCTAGAGTTTGTATTTGTCAGGGAGCACCGTCTGTGTCTCATCTTTTTTTTGCGGATGATTCTATTGTGTTTTGTGCTGCTGATTTAGCGGAAGTTGGTGTGTTGAAACGCATTTTGGCTAATTATGAACGGGCCTCTGGGCAACAGGTGAATTTTGGTAAATCCTCTATTTTTTTCTCGCGTAATGCTCCTATGCCATTGAGGCAATCTCTTAGTCATGCTTTGGGCTTGCCGTTGTCGGATTTTCATAGTCGTTGTCTTAGGGTGCCAACCATTTTGGGCCGCTCCAAGAGGGATGTGTTTAATTTCCTTCTGACTAAAATCTAGGACCGATTGTCTTTTTGGAAAGCGAAAGCTATGTCTACGGGTGGGAAAGAAGTGTTAATTAAGGCAGTATTGAGTGCTTTGCTTGCTTATGTTATGTCTTTCTTTAAGCTTCCCATTACATTGTGTCAAGATTTAATGAAGTATATTCGTTCTTTTTGGTGGTGTTCTAAAGATAAATCTTGAGCAATTCATTGGCTTCATTGGAAATTCTTGTGTCGGCGTAAATCTTCGGGTGGTCTGGGGTTTCGCGATTTGGAGGCTTTCAATTTGGCTCTTCTATCTAAGCATGCTTGGCATTTTCAGGTCCAAAAACAGGGACTTCTGTATCAGCTTTTCAAGGCAAAGTATTTTCCTTCTTTGTCGTTCTTGGAGGCGCATTTGGGTTATAATCCTTCTTGGGGATGGCGTAGTATTTGGTCTACTCAGGCCTTGTTATGTTAGGGGGTCCGCTCGTTGATTAGGAATGGCCTCTCCACGGATGTTTGGAACAAACTACCACCACCCCAGGTTCCTGCTCCCTTTTCTTCTATGGCATAGTTGATTGATCATGTTACGTCTTCGTGGAAGCTGGATCTTTTGCCGTAGGTTTTCTCACCCACTACGGTGCAGGAAATTCTTAAAATTTACATTTGTCGATGGGATAAACCGGATGAGATCATTTGGTCTCCTGAACGGTCGGGTACGTTTTCTGTGCGCTCGGCTTATTAGTTAGCTATGTCCGGGGATTCTTTTTTGGGGGTTGCTTCTCCTACCAGTACTTGGTCTTCTATTTGGCGTTGCCGGACACTATCTAAGGTGCAACACTTCCTTTGGAGATGTTGTTTTCATGCCTTGCCGGTTCGTGTTGCTTTGCTGGCTCGCGGGTGTGCGGTGTCTCCTATTTGCCCTCGCTGTGGGTTACAGGAGGAGTCTATGGTGCATCTTATCTTTTCTTGCCCTCATTCTGTTCAAGTGTGGAAGTTATCTCCGTTACGCTTTGATTTTTCCGATTTGTCTTTTACTTCGTTCCGAGCAGGTTGATGTTTTTTGGTGCAAAAGGCTATGGTCTCCTCGGACTTTGCGAATGTCCTTAGCCTGATTTCCTTTTGTGTCTAGGGTATTTGGAAGGCCCGAAATCGGTTGGTCTTTGAGGGGGTTTTATGGCGGCCTGAGGTTGTGGTGCAAACGGCCGTTGTTAGTTTTTGGGAGTTTCATGATGCTCGTTCCCTCTGCTCCTCAGTACAACCACGGCTGGCTGGTGAGTTGGTGGAGTCGTGGAGTCCCCCTCCATTGGGTTTTGTTAAGTGTAATTTTGATGCGGCTTTTTGTCGGCAGTCTTCACAAGAGGGTGGAGCTGCTGTTTTTCGGGATTTTCGGGGTGCAGTGCTTCGTGCAGTTATTTTTCGTCCCTTCTCTGCTGCTTCAGCTTTAGAAGCGGAAGCGTTGGTCTGTCAGCGTGCGATTCTTTGCGCTATAGATTTGCGTTTCTCTTCTTTATGGTTTGAATCAGATGCTAAAGCTGTGGTGGACGGGGTGCTTTGTCAACAGTCTTGCCCGTCCGAAATTGCTTCTATTTGTTTTGATATTGCTCGGGACTTGCGACGGTTTTCATCTACTCGGTTGACTCATGTGCGATGACAGGGTAATCGGGTGGCTCATGCTTTGGCCGCTCTTTCGTGACCTGGGGTTGTGTTGAATCTGTGGTTGTCTTTTGTTCCTCCTTCTGTCATCCTTTTTGTGGTGGCAGAGGGGGAGTCTTAGTGGGTTGTGGTTATTTTGGTTCCCTGTGTTGGGGTTGTTTTTGCCTTCAAAAAAAAAAAAAGTGTATCAACTAAGACAACGTCATAAAATACAAAGTTTTATAAATGTTAGGGAAATAAATTGAATAAATGCAAGTGAATGGATACGTAAATATGATGTTTTTTTATTATGAAAAATAAATAAATAAAAGAAAGACTTGAGTGAGGGGAATAAGACTACTCTGCTTATATATATCTTTTTGTTTACACTCCCGACAACACCTTTATAGGTTTTTTTTTTTTTACCAAGGCAAACAAGCATCTCAAATTTCACCAACACAGCATCTCAAATTTCACAGTTTTTCTTTTTCCACAAATTAATCTCCTGAAATAAGCAACAATTGTATTCACGCGTATATGAGAATGTATGTTTTTTCAAAGGATTTAATGGTCAATGGAGGAGTGCTTAATGGTCAATGGTGGAACTGATTTTTATTCATACTAGTCAATGAAGTGGATCGCACTAAATGGAACTGGTGGAACTGGTTTTTATTCATACTAGTCATTGAAGTGGATCGCACTTTGACAAAAATCAATAAAAGTATTATATAATTGGTGGATGCTTATCTATTTTTCACTCACCTAAATTCGCAAAGTCGGACGCCTCCGGATTGAATGCTTGGCGTAACACCGGATCAAAGACTAGATAGGTCTGGTTTTGATACTAATTTTAACGTAAATACTTATCTAATTATTTAAAAATTGAAATTGTTAAGTAATAATATATACCTATCTATTTATACCTAATTATTTTTTCATTCAAATTTAACGCAGGATAAATGAACCTTGTTACATAAAGTTCATATGAGTGATTTTTTTTTTTTTTTTTCACAAGAAATAAGCAACAATTGTATTCACACGTATATAAGAATGTGCCGTATTTTTTTGAAAGCATTTAATGGTCAACGGAGTGCTTTAACTGGTGAAACTGATTTCATTCATATTAGTCATTGAAGTGGATCCCACTTTGAGAAAAATCAGTTCTAAAATACTTAAATTGCTAATAGAACAACAATTGTATTCAACGCGCGTCATGCGATAAAACCCCAAATCAAAAAGAACAAGTTTTGATAACCAAGTCAAATCTAAAATACTTTAAATTGCTAATAGAAGGAACTTTTATCTCTTTAAATGTTTTAAGCATGAGTTCCACAATAAACGTTTTATGGTACAGTAATATCTCTTTTATTTTTATTTTAAAATAAATAGTGAAAATTTAAATCTTTAAAGGAGTAATTGGAGTGTGTGAATAGTGTGTGTGAGTTTATGTCCAATGATTAAAAATTAAAAAAAAAATATGAATTTCACTTGAAATATATTTAATGATAAATAATCTTTTAACTTATTTTTATGTTTAACTTATCGATTAAAACATTATTTTATAATGAAAAAACAGTAAATAACCTAATAGTCTTTTTTTTTTGTCCACAGGATATTAATTTTTCTAAATGACATAAATCTGTTAATTTATTAAAATTAGTGTCACTTTGACTTTCTATTACTCCATAGGCCCTTAAAAAAAATCCCTTTGAAAACTTTTAGATCACATCGTTTTTTTGCTTTCCATCACATCGTTTACATAGTTATAATTGGTGGTATTGTAAAAGTGAGAGTATACTGCCTCATTTTACCCTCGTTATTAAATATATCATCATATTTGTAAAGTATTACAACTAGTGACATTGTGAAATTGGAAGTATATCATCCAAGAATACTAGTGTATTGAAAGTACATCACCCTCACTTTCTCAACTGCACTAATTGCAATTTTTTAAAAACAAAGGTATAAACACAAACATATATATATTTATATATATGTATGCATATATAATTTATAGAATTAAAATCATAAGAAACTCCACTACTATTCAAAAAGAGTCATATAATTACCATACTAAATAAATTAGGGTTAAAATCACAACCCTTACTTTAAAATTTGTGCATAAATCCCTCGCATAATTTTTTTTTTTATTTAAAAAAAACTATTATATAGATTTATTTATAAAGCCTTTTTGGCGTAAAAAGAATAGCTAGGTGTGAGTGTCTGTCACGTGCTGACTTGAGAGGTATTTTCGACATAAAATGATTAAACATGAGACGTGAGTGCTCCCTTTTGAAGATAGAGTAACATAAATGGAGACAATGTGATAATGTTTTTTAATTCATATATATATATATATATATATATTTATTTATACTGAAGTTTTATGCATAAATTTGAAAATGGAGAAATTTTAACCCAATAAATTATCAAATCACCTCATTAATTTTCAAAAATCTATCATGGTATTTAGGGATAGACAAATAATCTGTAAATCTAATCCGATACGTGCGGATGAGATCGGATTGTTGCACCCACGGATCTGTGACGGATTCAAAAAAATCAAATCCGTAACTCACGGATCGGATCACGGATTGTGTTATTAAAAATACAACCCGATCCGTGAAATTTATATATATATTTTCAAAGATATATTAATTAATGATAATTTAATGAACTTTTAAGGCTGTATTAGTTAATAATTATTTAAATATATGAATTTAATATTAATAAATTAAAATATTATATATTGGGTTATCGTTAAAAGATAAATAAATAATAAATAATATTAATTATAAAAATAATAATAAATAATTTAAATAAAATTTAATCCGTAAATCTAATCTGATCCAATCCATATAATAACGAATCCATGAAAAATTAAAATTTATTTAATCCATTAAAAGCGAATCAAATAGGAATTCATCCCCATATCCTATCCGTGTCCACCCCCTAATGGTATTCCCATTCCGTTTGTTTGCCTAAACGGGACAAGTGTGACTCTCATGTGCCAACCTATTAATCATATGACCAAATTATTCTTTTAACCATTTAATGACCATTATACCCTTTAAAACCCCAAACCCAGTTAAAGAGAACAATCGTTTGCTCTGCTCTGCTATGCAAATATCCCTTACACAACCAATGATCAGTAGATATATATCATGAATCTCTCTCTGTGCACACATATATACTCTACTTTTGTCCCTATATATATATACTCTACTTTTGCTGGTATTTTTGGAGGGTCTGCAACTATAGTCTTGCAGAACCATTGTTAACGGCTCTTTCACAGTTGTGAAGGTTTTATGTTTGCAGAGATTATGTGATCTTATGATTTTAACACTAATATATATTAGTATAAGATTTTCTGATAAAGGTTACCTGTGAAGTCAAGATAGCTCCTCTAACAACAAGAAGAAGAAGGTTACATTACAATACTGATCATGCCAGAGGAAGAAACCGATCCACGTCCCATCGCATTAATCATTTTCCTAATCTTAATTACTGGTACACTAACCTATGCCTTTCGTTACATCTGGTTTTCTTTTCCTCTCTATTGGATTATACAATCTAATTTTCCCAGAAAATCCATCTATTTGTTTCTGCATGTAATTGTATTAGTCCATTCTTACTCGATCAACTAACTTTCTTGCAATGTTAAAAACAACTACAACTTGACTTTTTTTATTATTTTTTATTTTTTTCGAGTTTTTCGAGAACGATTCTATTGATTTGGCATAAATAACAGAAATTTGTCTCTTGTCTCTCTGAAAACATTTGAATTGCAGGCGCGGTTGTTAATGGTGTTGGAGATTCAATAGAGACTGATAAACAAGCATTGCTCAACATGAAATCACACCTTGAAGATCGAAATCCCCTGAACAGAGGACGATACGCCGAATGGAACCAACAGAATTCTTCGCCGTGCGATTGGCCGGGAATTTTGTGCTTCGGCGCTCGAGTCACCGGAATCGACCTCTCCGGGAGCCAAATCGCTGGCGACATGTTCGGAAACTTCTCGTCCTTAACCGCCCTCACGCACCTAGATCTCTCGAGGAACACCGTCGACGGAGCCATTCCGGCCGACCTAGGCCTGTGCCAGAACCTCAAATATCTGAATTTGTCTCATAACATCATCGGCGGAGTGCTTAACTTGACCGGACTCAGCAGCTTGGAGGTTCTCGACCTCACTGTCAATAGATTTAGCGGCACAATTCAGTTGAGTTTTCCGGCGATTTGTAACCGTTTGATTCTTGCAAACATTTCGGCAAACAATTTCACCGGCGAGATTGGTGATCTTTTCTCTGAGTGCCCGGAATTGCAGTATCTTGATCTGAGCACCAACAATTTTAGTGGAGATGTATGGCTAGGGTTTGGGAAGCTGAGAAAGTATGCTATATCTGAGAATAATTTCAATGGCATTATTTCGCCGTCGATTTTCTCAGGAAATTGTAGCCTAAAAGTTCTGGACTTGTCAGGAAACTCATTTGTTGGAGAATTTCCCAAGGAAATTTCAAATTGTAAGGATTTGGTGATTTTGAATCTGTGGGGAAACAACTTCACAGGGAAAATTCCGGCAGAAATTGGATCGATTTCGGGTCTTGAAGGGCTTTACTTGGGGAGCAACAATTTTTTCAGAGAAATTCCGGAGTCTCTTTTGGGTTTGAGTAAGTTGGCCTTTTTGAATATGGGCAAGAACAATTTTGGGGGAGATATTCAAGAAATTTTTGGGAAATTCAGGCAGGTGAAGTTTCTTGTATTACATAATAATTCATATACCGGGGGGTTATACACCTCTGGAATTCTCAAGTTGCCCATAATTGAGAGGCTAGACCTGAGCTTGAACAATTTTTCGGGGCCATTACCAGTTGAAATTTCTGAAATGATGGGCTTGAAGTTCTTGATTCTTGCATACAATAACTTCTCCGGCAATATACCACCTGAATATGGAAAGTTGACAGGCCTTCAAGCTCTTGATCTCTCCTTCAATCAGCTAAACGGCTCAATACCACCAACCTTTGGAAATTTAACTTCTCTTTTGTGGTTGATGCTTGCGAACAATGCATTAACAGGTGAAATCCCACTGGAGTTGGGGGATTGTAATAGCTTGTTGTGGTTAAACCTCGCGAACAATCAACTTTCTGGGACAATCCCAACTGAGTTGACAAATATGGGTTTGAATGCGACTCCAACCTTCCAGTTAAATAAGAAAAGTGATGGACTTGCTTCTGGTTCTGGTGAGTGCTTGGTGATGAGGAGGTGGATTCCGGCAAACTATCCTCCTTTTAGTTTTGTGTACACATTGCTTACATGGAAGAGTTGCAGAAACCTTTGGGATAAGTTGCTGAAAGGATATGGTCTATTCCCAGTGTGTGCGCCTGGCTCAACTGTCCGGACATTGCAGATAACCGGTTATGTCCAACTCAGCGGGAACCAATTATCCGGTAAACTCCCTCTTGAGATTGGTAAGATGCAGAACTTCAGTATGCTGCAATTGGGTGAAAATAAATTCAATGGTTCTCTCCCTCCAGAGATTAGTCAAATGCCACTTGTAGTCCTCAACATTTCACAGAACGAGTTTTCTGGTGAAATTCCAATGGCAATTGGTGATGTCAAATGCTTACAAAACCTGGACTTGTCATATAACAATTTCTCAGGCAGGTTCCCAACCAGCTTGAACAACTTGAATGAGCTCAGCAAATTCAACATCTCATACAATCCCAACATTTCTGGTGTGATCCCCACAACTGGGCAATTTGCAACATTTGAGAAAGAGTCCTACTTTGGCGACCCATTGCTGCTCCTTCCACCTTTCATTAAAAATGTTGCACCAGCAAACCAGAATGAAATGCCAAAGAAGCCTACGAAATTGGGTGCATCTAATTTGGTGTTCTTTGCTCCACTAGTGGCTTTCTTATTATGTGGTGTCATGTCACTCATAGTCTGGCTATTCCTATTGAAAAAGTGCAAGGTAAGGACTTCATGTTTTCTGCATGACTGTCGGATACCAATAAATTAATCCGTTTGGACAAAACAGGATTTACAAATGCTAACATCTTGATAGCTGTTGGAAAAATTATTGGATATGCTTCTATTTAATATATGTGTAACTTTTATTATATTATTAAATGTAATTAGTGCACTAAACCACCTTTAATTTCAAGAGGTTGCAAAACACCCTTTCCCTTTTTTTATTTCTCTCTCTCTTTTTTTTTTTTTTTTCTTTTTTTTTTGGAGCAAAAAACAACCACAATTTACTAATGGTAACAAATTACCCCTTTTACCTAACTGAGGACAAACTGCAGTTGAGATATGATATAAAATTACACAAAAAATCATAAATAAATAAATAAAATAAAAATCTACAGTTCGTCCATGGCTTTGCAGCCACTGTTGGTGCTAGCCACAACACTGGGTTCATCCACTATCCTAATTGTTCTTTCCAAGTTTTTATTAATTCATCAAGGAATTACATTATTAATTATCAAATAATTACATTCCAATTTTTTTTTTTTTTTTTTTTTTTTTCACCTTACATTCCAAGTTACAAGTATCAATTAACCATCTAGGCCATAACACTCAAAATCTCCAACCGCCATAAATATAAATTACTTGAGGCAAAATATACACATAGAAGCAGACATCTCTCGCCACCAAATCAACGGATTTCGATCCACTGCCGAACACGTTTGCCATCTCATAGTTTTGGTTCGATCCTTCTAGCAGAAACACCTCAAATTCATCAGCAACACTTTCGTCAGTCAGAGCTCTGATTCCGTGCGCTCTTCGCGGTTGATGAATGGCTGAATCATTATCAATCCGATGATTTTCAATTTCTCAAACACTTGTCCGCTGATCTTGTGAGTTGTGCTATACGAATGGATGTGAAAGTTTATACTAAAAATAATCTAAATGGTGGTGAATGGGTTTTACTTGTTTCTTTATCCAATTTTTACTTATTTTAATTCTACTAAAATAAAACTAAAATCAAACTAACAAAGCAAAAATAAAGTGCAAGTAAATAGAGTTTGAGAGATGACACCGGAATTTTTAGCTAGGAAACCTAGACCGGTAGAAATTGACATAACTCGTGAGAGGTCGCTTCACAAGGTTGATAAGAATGTGGTTTTGAAAACTTTGGAAAGTCAATTTTACATTTATAAAACCACTACTACTACTATATCACTACTACTACTATATAGTATAGTAAGTATGGATCGTCCACATGGATTAGTGGATTTATTCAATTTACAATTAGTGAACAAGTGATTAAATAGAAAATATGTTTGCTTATAATCCTAGCGGCTTCATTCAATTTACTATTAGTGAACCTGTGATTAAATAGAAAATATGTTTGCTTATAATCTTAATGAAACTAAACAAATGCAAATAAAAGAAATGATAATTGGATAACTGAATGAAGATATTGAAAAATTTAAGTCATAGAATCCACCTCTAAGCCTTGTAATTATACCATTGCAATCAAATTTTGGAAAAAATATTTGTGCAATTAAGAATTGTGGTTATATGTAAACAATCATGGTCAAGAGAATATGTAAATTGCATCAACATGCATAACTCATCAAAGCTAAGCATGAATTGTATACCTGGAAACTTTTACTCTAATGTTGTAACACAACCCATCAAATCTAAGCATGAATCATTAAATAAAATGCAAATGCATCAATTAAGTACCATTATTTAACCATCATCCACACAACTACAAGAAGTGGAGATGTTGAGATTAATCAACCACAATCAATGCATAAGACAATGTAAAAATCATAAGAAGATTGATTAAAGCATTAAACACACAACTAATCTCGGTACAAATTAAAGAATTTAAATAAAAAAAACTAATCTTGGTACAACCAAGTTTAATTTGCAAGGTTAAACAATCTACACAATAATCCCTAAATTGAAAACAAATAATACAATACTTAGGTTGGGGTTTCATGTAACGACCCAAACCCGAGGGTCCGAATCGCTTACCGGGTCCCGACCCGACCCGTATATACCCAAGGGTAAAATGGTCTATGTGACCCGTACAAGGCATTTGAAGTCTATATGAAGTTTTAACGATTGATTCTAATCATTTTAAATAGCTTCTGGATGAAGAAAAAAAAAAACCCCCGGTTACAATTTGGTTCACTTACAGTTACAAGAGTAAATCGGTCTTTTTGGGTCGTTTATTGCATTAGGGATCTTATAACTGCCTTCTAGGCTATATCTAGTTGCTTAGGATCATTTATAAATGAAAGAAAATAACTTGGTTCGAGCTCACCCATTTTAGGGCTCAAAAGGGTAAAAATGTCATTTCGGGCCAATCTGCTTGCATTCTAGCGGGGCCATAGTGATTTAAGCTCCCCCAAATATCTTAGTGGACCCATACGTTGAAGTTCGGGGCCAACAAAAAACTTTTAAAAAAACAGCGCCTAAAATCTAATACGGAGCGCTCCATCGATGTCCTCGGAGCGCTCCATGGGTGCCATGAGCACTCTAGCGCATGCCCTAAGTACTCGGTAGACACTCTCGGAGCGTTCCGTGGGTATGTCCTGGGCACCCCGGCGCATGTGCCGAGCGCTCGCAACAGAGTAAGGAGTGCTCAGAGCAGCCCATAAATGGGGTTTTTGCCCCTATTCGTGATCCTGAACACCCATTCGGTCATTTTTTGCCTAAATGCTCCTCTCTCAACTCACTAGCATGCATTTGACAACATAACTCATCAATTTAGACTCTTATATAATCAAACATGCATAAGTATGGTAAATGAAAGCAAGACATCTATTTAAAACCTTTAAGTTACATCGTTTACATTAATACATAGTCCGACGGAATAAAGATACAAGTTCAGACCCTTCCGGCCACAATTACAATGCTTTATAAGAATTTACATCAATTTAAGCGTCTAATACAAGATAATACAAAATGGTGTTTTCGTTAACCCTAACTACACTTGTGAGGGTCCGTCCTCAACCGCATCGTTGCCATAACCTGAAAAATATTAAAGGAATGGGTGAGCACAGAGGCTGAGTAGAAGATCCCGAAGACACAAACTTTGGACTCCCTTGAGCCACGAAACAAATAAGGGCAATGAAAGAATATCGGGATCATGCATTGGGGAATGTCATAGCATTTTAAACCACAAATCAATCTCAACAATTTCATTTAAACAATCCATCAAATTATTACATAGAATGTAATGCAGTGTTCCTTATTTTCCCAACCCTAGTCTCAACCAACTCCAAACCTGGCCTTTACCGGCCCTAATTCCCACCTACACTAACCGACTTTTACTGAGCTAGGATTGACACTATCCATGGCCTCTTGGCCATTTGGATCCTAGTATCAACTTTTTCATGTCTAATACCAAACAACGTCCCTTTAGGTCGAGTTAGCATCGGGCTTGCAATACCCGGTCCATTTCTAATATTCTCTTTTCCACCCATCCTAAAATGGCTAACTTGTTAATCTCTTTCAACTTTCTCACCATTCTAAAATGACTCTAATGTCCTTCAAATTCAAGTTTCCCACCATGCCATGGATATGAATGCAATTGCATTAACTTAACCTCCATCTTAATTATACAATAGAAATGGCATCAATATGGCATTCTCTATACAATAGATACAAACATGGCATTCTTTATAATTTATGCACAAGTATGGCTTTCTCATGTAAATCATATCAACAAAATCATGCTAACACGTTAGCACAATTAGCAATTCTTCAACTAGTCAATGACAACACTTCATTTACATGGAAAAAAACATGTTATACATCAAATACTAGCATGCTTTCATCACATTTTCTTCAATCATCATTTCATTTACAAAACTTGCATTCTACATGGTCAAGTAAGGATTCAAAAGAAGATTTCTTAACAAAAGGCAAAGTACAAAGTATTAGAAATCCCTACCTCAAGGATGGCAACCAAACAAGCCCTTAACCAATCCCAATTTCAAAATCACCCTTAGTCCTTGCAATATGGATGTTAAAAGATGGCCTTCTCCAAGCTCTTTCACTTTCTCTTCTATGACATCTTTAAAATCATACCCCAATTCCTCCAAATTTAAGTTAGAAGCATGGAGGTTATTGTAATACCCCTAAATTTAAAAAGGATATAATTGAAATTTTGTTTATTTTTTTTTAGTGTTTAATATGCATTTTTGAATTGATTTTTGTGGCTATGTGCTTATGTGTCAAATTGTTGTTTATCTTAATTAATTGTTTTATTCTTTATATGATTTAATTGTTTTATTCTTTAATTTGATTGAATTGTTTTGTTTGGTTAATTGTCTATGTAATGTAATTGAGGTTTTAATTAATTAGTTAATTGGATTTTTGTTTTTATTTAATTAAATTAGTTTTGATTGTTTTAAATGAGTTAATTAGGTTGTTAAATTAGGATTTTAGGGTTAGGGATTGTGTATTTGGCCGACTAGGGTTTAGTTGGGTTTCCATCTCTTAATATAAGTAGACGTAGGTTTTTATATGCCTATATATATACTGTTATAAGTCTGCTTAGGGTGGTAAGCACAAACCCTATTCCTGAATAGTGAATATACAGAGAGTTTAAAATGAAAACAGAGAGAGGTTGTGAGGAAAAGATAGAGCAACGTCAGAGAGGGTTTTGGCAGTGGCTTGAAGGTCAGACCTAGGAGGAGGAAGGTTGAGCAGTAGGAGGTAGAGTTGACAGTGAACGGACGTCGTCGGAAAAACCTAGGAAGACGGCGACAGGGTTTTTATTCAAAAACCACAGAGGCAAGTTCTTTTCTTTCTCCTTCCCTTTGGCTCGTGTTCTATGCACCTAGATATCCTCTAGGGTTTTAATTAATCAGTAATCGGGATTTACGTGTTTATTATATGCTATTTTGATGATCTGTTTGTATTAAAATCAAATCTGCTTACAATTTGTGCATGTCTGCTTCCAGTTTTGTTCCTTAAAGGATGTTAAATTCTGTTGTGATTTTTGTTACTGTACTTACTTCCATCTTCTATAAACGAACCATGGGGATGTTAATGGGATGATATAAGATCTTAGGTTCAGTATTGATGAGGAACAGAGAGGTTGGAATGGAACTGTTGTTGCAAAATAGTTTCAGTTTGTTTCTAAAGCATGTTTAGTTCGGTAGCAAATTTAATCTTTGTATTTAATTCCAATTGTTGTTATTAAACCATTGGGATGCTATTTGGTATTAATAAGACCCTTAGGATCAGTTTTAGAAACCAACTATCATCGAAAACGGAGAAGAAAGTGGAACAGTGAGCTTCCCCTTTCTGGAAGCGGCTCCAAACACTTTGAGCCTGCTCCAAATTTTTTTGGAGCCGGCTCAATGTTGGTTTGAGCCCGCTCTATTTATTTTAGAGCAAGCTCTTTCCATTTTGATGCG